ATTCAGTCGGAGTTGAGCTTGAAAGTGTGCTAAAATCCATTGGAAAATGGAGACAAAATGTCGTTCTTTTTATTGGCCTCCCCTGTATGTATGAGATGACCTAATAATTCAATGGAAATGCAAAGACAAGACTGCTGCGAATTCGCACGTATCGCTACCGCAAATTTGAATTTATAATCGCCAATGTTTCTGTTAACCAATAAAGTCATGCCCATATCAAATCGATATACTTATAGCCTACAGAAGAAAGAAACGAAGTGTAAGGATTCAATACTTCAAATAATTTTACAATATGAGAAGCAGCTTAACTCACGTGTTTCCTACTCTGTTGCACATTTACTGTTCGAGTTTTCTTCACGCGGACCTCCGTTCCGTCAGGCATTTTTTGAACTTCTTCCTCGCACAGCTGAAGGATAGAGATTGAATGTTCAAAAGAGAATGCATATTAAGGATATCATTGTTGCTGAAGAACGGCGAAGCACAAAGATCAAACCCAAGATGAAAATGTTGGTGTTCAGAGAGAAAATGGTAATAGTTATAATATAATACAATCGCATTGCATTCGTTTATAGCAGTTGCCGTTCCCAAAAGCAGCTTGGTATTTCGTAGAAATATAAGTGACGTGCCTCACTGTTGGTAAAGCAGCTCATTTTTCAATTATTTCGAGAACACAAAATAAGCTGGAATATGAGTAGTGTGCTTTTTTATCCGAGTGGAACAAGGTCCATTATAATCAAATACATAGCAACATGACGGATCAAATCTCTCTGCAGGAATTTTGCCTCATCACAAGGTGCCTGGCCCCATAAACGCTCGAATCAATATGCTCAAGTGGCTTCTTGTCTTTGACAGACATGAAATTTCAAAAGTGTACAAGTGATCTTTTACAATAAAAAAAGTTTGTGCTAGTTAGGTTTGGCTACTTTTCCTCTATTGGACCTATGCCTTGCAAGCCTGTAGTTCACTCATTTACAATAGATATGGAATGTAGCCGATGTGCTTATGGCAACGAGCACGCTCACACGCGACGTCTGGATGAGTCGCCCGGTCAACCCAACCAAGCCTTCCATCCCTCCGGGGTCGGTTAATTGGTACCAGACTTGTCTGGGAGGATAAAAAACACTGACTTGAACATCGGCTGGCCCCCGCAAGTCATTGTATAGGCCACATCGCATTCAAATGCCACTGCGAATGTACAAATGGAAGTAGAATGCGTGCCGCATCCCAAAAAGGGATTGATCAACGGCAAATGCTTTATCCTTTATCCTTTTATGCTGGGAGTGCTTCAGGTACGAGTATTTTATTCTTTCAAACACTATTGATAATTATGTTGAAAACCTGAAATTTCAATAAGAAGAAAGCGTAGGTTCGACGTAAAAGGACAATTACAACCAATTCTTCAAAAAAAAATCGAATTTTGAAATTATAGCAAAAAATGTGCGTCTTGGCCGACATACAAGACATTGCTACCAAACTATGAAAAGCTTTTAAGAGAGAAAAACTGGCAAAAGCTTAGTGAATGTGTGGCCAGCCTTTGGTAAGTACATCTCAGTGCCGACCCTAGATCAGAATTCAGTGAATACTACTGTGAAGAAAATCAGTTTTGAATTAGAGGGAGGCGTAATCCAACATTTCTCATCTATTCGTGGTGTTACTGCGTGAGGTACCTTTCACATATGGAGGTACAACACCAAATATGTATCTGCTATCATTTTCCTTTCAATTTGTGGCATAGCACAGAAGAATGAAACTTCCATCTGGAGACCGTGAAAGAGGTTGAGCCCATTATTGAACAGTTATTATTATTATTAATGAAGAAACCAGAAAAACTCCTGGTTATTCAACACATTAGATAGATATTTTTTGTAATTCAAACTTATATTTTTATTGTATAGACACATCCTATCAAGTATTTGATGTAATGGATACCCTAACCATAAGACGCATGCGGTAACGAAAACAGTCGCAAAGAGGGTCAAGAGTTCGTTGGGACCAGGGTCTTGTCAATCCTGCTGATGGCCAGAGGAGGTTGTGGTAAGCTCACAGCAGAGAGGGGTCTTTATTTGCCGTGATAGCAATGATCAGAGTAGCGGTAGCCTGTTTGGGAGGGGTGGAAACCGCGGCTCACACCGGAAGTCGCGTGCACGGCGCGTCCCTGAGCGAGATTGACCTATGCAATACGCTTCATGCCGTCCCTGGCAAAGCGATGTGACTGGAAAGGCATTAGGAGCCTCCGAAAGGATTTATTCAGAATCCAATGAACCCACTAACCAAGAATAAATGCAATTGTCGCCTTAACATTGTAAGCATATAACCACTGAAGTCGAAACCTTGCGGTAACTCCAAGTATAAAATCGTAAAGGCAAACCCTAGTTGCTGCACATTCCACGCTTTCCTCGATTCGTGCATTTTATTTTTGGCTTCTCAATATGATTCCAATCTACTGAATCAGCTTTAACAAATTGCGCATGGAAGCTTGGCGTATTTCTCCCGTGCAAATGTGTTAGCTGTGATCTACATACCAAATAAGTATGCATTCATGAAGATTTAGTTCCCGAGAGGAAACAAGTCTTCAAAAATTCACATTGTGGGCAGTTCACAGACACCTGGGCGGAGCCAGCAGTGAGCATGGAGCCAAGTACATAGCGGGGCGGCCACGTAATCATGCAAGGAACGGAATTTAAGTATCCGAGCTCAGAGTGTAGAGACAAAACATTTTAACGTAAGAATTTAGGACCCAATAAGAAACTGAAATCTTCTTTCCAAAGCTACTTAGAAAGGTTTCACAGTGGCAAAGCCTCAGGAAGCAAGTGGAGGCGTTCCTGCACTGACAGTTGTGAGCTTTCCACGAAGGAAATTTGAACGGATTATGGCTTTCTTGCACAGTTTCCCGAATCGTTTACCAGTACAACGTTTTCGCTTTCCTTGTTTTCACAGTCTCAGTGTGACAGGTCTCTAACCAACTATTGTATGTGTTTAGATAAGCGGTTCCCGTACACAGTTATTTCGGAAAATTTGCAAATTATTCATCTACACGCTTGAAGAAAGTAATTTTGATGACTATCAACGAGATGCAGTCTTTTTAGTCAAACGGTTCAGCTCGGTATTAGACCAAATCAAATGACATCACTTGCTACCCGGGCACCGAGCTTTCTGTTGGGGTAATTATCAGTGTTGTTAACAATCCGTATCCCGTTAAGCTGGCAGCCCGTGTCAGTGAATGGATCGTGCAAATGGGTGCGTGTTCGAGTCCCGTTCAGAACCAAATTCCCCTATACCTGATCATTTTCATTTGATAACAATTACATTGAGAGGCGCCGGAAAAAGTAAGAAAACAAAAAGGAGGTTCCATCCAATAAGGGGGGGGGGCTTGTGCGCAAGAGTTGCTGCCGCCTACAGAAATATTAGTTTCTGCAGGGAGAGGAAATTCTCGAAGGATCTGTGAAACATTCCACTTTCGCTCCCACATCCACCCCGCTGCTAAAAATTGGATTTTTGGCGATGTCACCTGTCGCACTACATCCCCCCTTTACTGAGCCCCAGAAAAACACGTCAAAAGCTTGCTTCAGTTGACCAGAGTCATACCTTTTGCCCGTGTTTTTCCTCTCGCTCTTCTTTTCGCTCATCCGTTGTAACCGCATAGTCCTCGTCCGAGTCGCCAGTGTCCAAATCGGGAAACGTCGGCGAAAAGGTTGGCACCTGCCTGAAATCAGAACCTTCTTTTCCAGAGTTTTCTGCAATACTATCCGCACCTCAAATTGAGTTTATTGAGTAGTTCGTCCAACGATTGTTCCTCCTCCAGTGTTCGCGTCACGTTTTCTGCACTTGATATATCTGGTCCTTTGTGATTTTGGTCTTTTTCAATATCCGGAATTGTCGGCGGAACTCTGGTGCCGCTTATGCTGGCGTCAGTTGCTGGCCCACAACTTCGAACTGCCTGTAACGGTTCGAAACTGTTTTAGAAAAATGTTAGGAAACACACTCACACATTCTTCAGCGATTAGAAATACATGAGTTATTTGGAAATTTCACTGATCATTTCAAAATAAGGGAATGCCTATGACACGGAAATTATGGTGTGAGAAGACAAGCGAAGCATATATACGCTAAGAAAAAAAATTTTGTCTTCGCTTTTTTACTTCGTAAATTGCAGCTCGAACAATATTTTCTATTGGAATAAAAAGAGTAGCATGGACAACAGCAGCGGAAACAGTGAAATACGCCGAAAACCGAGCAAAGAATTTAAAAAAAAATGAAGCCCAATACCTGTGAGAGTTGTTCGACGGCATCACGGATCTCTTGGGTTTTTGGTTTCGCATCAGGCTGTACACATTCTCGATCGGTACATCGTAATAGTTGAACGAGGGCATTCTAAAAAATCTCAAAAGATTTGAAATCACAGAACTAGCTAACCAAGTCAAGATGACGTAGCGATTACGTACAACCCATCGACAACATACACTATAAACTTCGCGTTCCTGGTTCACTTTCCTGCTCTCTCTCCTTCTTGAGTAGGCTAGTATCCTCCCCCCTCTGAGGGCGTCAATGGACGCGCGAGAGTGTTTCTAACCTACATTCCCCATTAGGGACCATCACGATGGGACCCCTCTACCACCACACGTGAGATCACCCTCTCCGCCCCGCCCCCGCCCCCAGACCGCACACCCACCCGCCCCGAATGCGACCCTTCACGCACCAACCAACCCTCGGCCATCGCGGCTATTTCGCTATAAGGCTGATTCTGATCATCTATTGACACGCTCCAAACTCGCCGCCTTTCCATCAAATTGTCGACGGGAGGTGAGAGTTAGGGAAGGAGGGTAGTGGGGGTGATAGAATGTCACAAAAAACAGTAAAGATGATGGTTCCATTAATTTCATGTTTTTGTTTTGGAATCTAAATTCAAACTTACCAAAAGTTGTCAAAAAGGACCCTCTCTCCACGCAACCACGACCCCTTCGATTTCCGTAAATACGACCATCCTTTCGACATTTTGACGTACGTCTCCAACAACGACCCAATCCAAAAATTGCGAATACGACCCTAATCTGTATCGGCAGACAAAGTTGACCGTGCGCGAAGGTTATGACAAAATGGTTGAATTTTGAATTGACGTAGATATTTTGTGGTGCTTTCGCAGTTCAACTGATCTCATTCAGCAAATTCGTCCTTATACCAGGGCAGGTAAAAACGATATGACAGAAGCGTAGAACGCACGAGTAAAAGAGTCCATTTGCGCACCTCGTGGGCGAATTGGTGAAACCGAGAATAACGCCGGTCACACTATAAAGCCAAATCCAGAAACAGATATTCGCACGGTAGGATCCGCTATAAATTACAGCGTTGACAGTGAGAGAAGTTGGTCAATGGAGAAAGAAAAAGTAGAAAAAACGTCGGGCAGGGGCTTAGACAGGGACTCCCCCTGCCGTTTAGGGAGACGTGTGTGGACGAGTTGTCCGAACCTGCCCGTAGTACATGCGCTCCAATTGCAACTGCTGGCAAATAGCCATGCATGCTTGCAAATACATAACTATTAGGTCATCTCATTCAAACATGTCCAGACATCTAGAGAAATGGTGGGAAAAGTAAAAGAGCTGGAGCATTCTGCTTGCTTTTGTTGCAAAGCTAGCAAACCTAGCTACGGTATACCTCACTTAAGTTTGTAGTGCCGCAGAAGGGAACACTTAAAAATATAATAAAACTCATTGTGACCAAAATCGAGGCGGCATTTCCAAATAAATTGGTGATACCGTAATAACTTCGCCGCTCAAATTCACTGTGGGACAAATGATCAAGCTTAACGCGTATACAAGAAGTGTTTCAGAAGTNAAAGTGCTACGTTGAAGATATGGTGTGAGAGCTCAAAGAAGAAAGAACGGATGCGAGTTGTGGTTGAGGACGCGCTCACATTGCCCACCTTGTCCAAGAAGAGCGGGTGGATGAAATGAGGTTTCAAATGGCGCATCACAGATGTTGCACCTTTGCGATGTTTGCCCACGAGACTTGCAGTCTAGCTGCAGCTGTTACGCGAATTGTGCCCAAAAATTGGGGATGGTCCATAGAACATGTTTTTGAATATCTCATTTACTCCCAGATGCAGGAGTCCAGAATCGAATTGGTGTCTGTAGCATTGATCTTCTCTGCCAATAGCGTCATTTAAGAGTATCAAACTGACTCTGCTCATAAACGAAATTTGAGTGGAATTGTACCCTGAGGCTCAAGTCTAAAGCGTCAACTTTGGATTAACGCGAATGAGGAACTACTCGAATTGGATCACGAAAAGTCACGTGGGTTCACGTGGATGATGATTACGGCGACGGATTTCTGAGATGTGCCTCTTAAAGCAATACTCCGGAATAAAAACGGGGAGTGTTGGGTGCTAAGTTGATCGAAGGTAATGAAAGAAGCAGGAAATACCTCCAACGAACTCCAAAACTAGAACTTTCTCTTCGTTAGTCGCTTACGAAACCAGGGCTGGGAAAATTACGCGTTTGGACATGTCTACAGCAACTGTTGGCTTGTGCCATCAACCGACACGAGACCAACAATGAAAACTGATTTTCTTCTAGTTTCCCTATTTTTTCTATTTTTCAGTGCTTTTTTTGTTTGCTTCCTATCTTAAAATTTTTCTTCTCACTAGAATGATGACAACGTTCTCGAAAATGGTCGTAACATAGGCTTTGATGTTGATTTTCGCAGTTGAAATCCGCTAAATATTCCCCTACGACTTTCCAAACAACGGCTTAACATCTAGCGTTCCAGGTGGTTGTTTGGAAGATCACGTAGGACGGTGGGCGGGCTCAATGGGGTTGGGGCGGCGCCAATGCTCCAACCTAGGCTCCTAGCGCCTAAACCTTATCAAAACGCCCCGCCACTTCTGCACATGGTCTGCCCTTGCGTACTGCTGCATATTTGATGGGGAAAACCCAGATTTCGCCAGAAATCCCGGAATTTGCCTTTAAGCGACTCTGTCGGGAAAAAACCTCCATCGGTGCTCAAGTGTATGGCTTGTTTCTTAGCGATCAAATTGACAAAGGAATAGCAGTAGAAAACTACAATAACGATATCATCACCTATGTCGATGCCAGACCCCACATAGCTCATATTGCTCACGGGTATTTCGACCAAACGGATATTGTGACCTCTACTTATCAGCCGTATTTTCCCAACTGCAGCCGTGCGACCTCAGCTGTTTTGGCGAACTGAACGCCCTACTCGTTGGGAAGCGCTACGACAATTCACTGATCATCTATACTGACATCAAAAGCATCTTGTCTATACTTGTTGAAATGAAGAAGCTGCGCGGTGTCCAGTGTTTTCTAGACGCTGGGATCGGGTCGTTAACAACGACAAGATCTGCTTGACTTCAACACCAAAGTATTAGCTTTTTATCTTTCCTGCTGTTCATTTTATTCGAATAAAACCGTGGACGTGGGGGGGGGCGGGGGGGCGTGTTTGCAAAATAACTATTTTGCCAGCAATCGAAATTGAAGCGCTTCAATTGCGTTCTTATGGAATCGACCTCATACAGCGCGGCGGTCCCGCAACGACCGCTAGTCGAGCAAGCGCTCTGCACAGCTGCTTGGAGGCGGCCCCACCACGGATCGGTGGATCCGCCCCTCTTGAAGGATTTCGACTGCTTCCAACGCCTTTCAGAGGTAAGTTTTGAAGTTTGTGACATTTCCCATGAACTCCAATCAGGCTGAGGCATGTTTCCACCACTTGAAAACCAAATGGTTGAAACCCTGCCTGGACTGTTGCTTTAAAGTAATCCCGTTTTTGTGCGCATTCCCAAGGGCCTTCGTTCATACTATAAGGTCAATACATTAGCATACCTACAAAAAACCACATGGCTCACAGAAAGGCCAAATATTCTTTAGTTTGGCAGAGGTTTTCCAGACCTTACGGATATGTCTGTTCAATTCATTCCTCGTTTTCTTTTCAATAACGTAAACATGTTGATAAAAAGGAATAACAGAAGTGAATACAAACCTATTCGTATGGAAGATATGTGTTTTTACTGAAACAACCACGTCCAAATTAATTTTGGAACCACTAAAGGGAAATAAGTAAAATTTGCCTTTTCATGGCCTTAACACGTCATTTCGGTCGAACTTCCATTACTGTAACTCCCGATAAGCTTAGACAGATCGAACATCATTGAAAACATTTCATCGCATCTAAGTATTGCGTATTTACAGCTCAAAATCCATGGATTTGGTGTGCGGCGGCGCGCTCGCAAAATCGCTCTGGTCCCACGCGGTGCAAAAGCACAAAACGCGCGATGTCGTCAACGTGTTAACATCCCAATTCTCATTTTTGGCGTAGGATCAGGGTCAATTTCGGAGCAGGGTTGGGACTAGATACTGATTAAATCAGGGTTTGGTTTGTGCATTTTTGAAAAAAATCTTTTCAAATACTCTTTCCATACTGCAACCTTTCTCAAATCTGGGAGATTTACCCATCCTTCACATTCATCGGTATGCACGTCATCTGATACAAAAATTTATCGTTTCATAGCGTTAGTAGAGCCAGTCGTTGCTCTTCAGTCGTCTGCGCTCTATACATTTCTGTAGAGAACACGACAGAGAGTGCAAGACGTCACGTAAGCGGGAGCAGTTATACACGAAAGAGATACTGTAACTTAATTTACCTGAAGTCGCCTATCCTTGCTGTCGCAGTTGACGGAGACTGCATCAAGAACAGCTGTTGCACTATCTGTAAGAAGTAACAAATAAGATGAAAATGCGAGAATGCAAGGCAACTGAAAAAAAAACGGTACATTACTCGCTTGCTGGAGATAAATATAGTGGGTTATCGCTCCCATGAGGAAGTCGGTGTTGAACCTTGTGTGCCATAATTTTTGGTTTTCAGTACACGGCAGTTATTGGTATTGTAAATACCCTAATTTCCGGTAGATAAGCCCGCGCTGATTTCACGTAAAAACACTTGCGCTCGTGCGGTGTAATTTTGTACACCTTAGAAACTACCGCAAATTTGCCTATAGAGGTAATTCGATACCCTATTACGAAATGACTTTC